CCCCCCCCCCCCCCCCGTCTTAAATCTTGAAATTTGAAGCAAGAGGCACTTTAGTTGCTATTGTGAATACTGAGAAACTTGGCTCTGAAGGTTGCTTCAGTATGGTTGCAAGTTCTGTCTAGGGATGTCATTAGTGGTGTTAATGGAAGACTTAAACAAAGACACTTTCCAGGTGCTGGATTCTGCTGTCCTGTAAGTGTGCTCTCTAGAGGACATATTCATCATGGTTATGGAAGGCTGTGGTTGGCCTTGCAACAGCCTGCAATAATTGCACCATCTAGATCAAGAGGACCCAGAGCCCCATGACTTAGAGAGCATCAGCTTTAGTAGGTTCTGCAGCTTCTCACTGTAGCCATCTTTAAGAACAGAACTAAGAGGTGAGGTGAGTAGGGATGTTGGTAAGAAAAGAAGGAAAGGGGAAATCAAAGACAGCCAGCCAGCCATTTTGATTATTTCATTTGTGGGAGAGAGCCTCAGGCAGCAAATAGTAGTGATGCTTATGAACTCTTAAACGTGGTGTCTTTCCACCGGTCCAGGATTCCTCAGGAAATTGATTTAGGGATCATAACTTCTATTGTGTAGATTAATGGTGATGAGCATTGGGCTGGGTGCCGATTAGAATGGACATGAGTAGTTAGCCTGTCTTCAAACAACTTATCTTTTGTGTTTGAATCCCCACATCCCTCCATTTTTTGGTAGATTTGAAATGGATGGGCCTTATAGGTCTAGTAAGAATTTGGGCTGGCAGGTTAGCTCAGTTGGTTAGAGCGTGGTGTTGATACACCAAGATCAAGGGTCAGATCCTCATACCTGCCAGCTGCCAAAAACAAAGAGTTTGGAAGATTTATATTTAGGAAGTTGCAAGCTCTTGTTTAGATCTTTAGTTCTATAGATTGAACTGGTTTATTTAGGATTGCATGTGAGATAGGAGAGAGAGCAAAACTTAAGAGCCTGACTTTATGGTATTGATGTAATGTAACCTGTGTATAGTTTAGTTAAAAAATGCCCTGTCTAACATATTTGGGACAGTTGGCAAATCTGAATAAGGTCTGTAGATCAGAAATAGTATTGCATCAGTGTTAATTTTCTGATTTTCATCATACACACTGAAGTATTTAGGGGCACTGTGGGCATTACAGGGTTAAGAAAAAATATTTTTAAGTATCTCTATATTGCTAAAGAGAGAGAGAAGGTAAAATAAATGTGAAATATTAACATTTAGGAAATCTGGGTGAAGAGTGTACAGGAGTTCTTTGTACTCTTCCAACCTTTCTGTAGGAAGGTTCTGGAACTATATCAAAAATGCAAGAAGTCATCCTTTCTGCATAAATTCCTTTTTCATGGAGGTAGGAACTTTCCTGCTTTTAAAAATGTGAATCCTTTGCAGTTCAGTTCTGAAATGTAATAGATGGAAAATTTCTGCGTGTGTATGTCTAAAATGCAAGTCCTAGTGCCAGACCCAGCTTTATAGTTAGAGAGTCTCTCTCCCTCCTCCTCCTTAAGGTGGCTTTAGTGAAGGAATTCTTTGGCACAGTGCAACAATGACATAAAATTGCTTTATGTGCCAGTGGCTGGGTGCCTTTAACTAGACCGCTAATTTAAAATTTCTCACAAACTGTCCAACTAACTTACTTAAAGAAATCAAATGATAATAACAAAATAATTGGTGGGAGAAGAAGATGGGTTCATTTCCTCTGTCCTCTTTCTTTTTTCTTTTTTTTTTTTTTTTAAAGATGACTGGTAAGGGGATCTTAACCCTTGACTTGGTGGTGTTAGCACCACGCTCACCCAGTGAGTGAACTGACCATCCTTATATGGGATCTGAACCCATGGCCTTGGTGTTAACAGCACCGCACTCTCCCGAGTGAGCTACGGGAGAGCCACTGTCATTTTTCAAATGGTTGACTATGATTGCAAGTGTATTCTAGAAGGACATATAAAAATGAAAAATGTTAGTGTTATTTAGGGCAGTGAGATTTTAGATAACTTTTTATTTTTTTCCAAACATTTGTTGCTTTTTTTTAAATAAGAAAGTTGTGTTATTTTATATGTCTTAGTATTTTTATTCTTGATTCTACAGAGCGGAGGCTGTGTCACACAGACTCTGGAACCATGAACATATTTGATAGGAAGATCAACTTCGATGCGCTCTTAAAATTTTCCCATATGTAAGTGTTTTGACCTTGATTGCAATTTCTTACTGCATTTCCTTTCATATCTGGTTTCTTTTCCCTTTTCCTAGTTTATTAACTTTTCTGTGTATAAACAAACAGATTAACTTGGCTGGAATCCAGAGTACCTGATAAAAATACCCAGATTCTGAGGGCTGTGCAATCACTGGAAAGTCATTTATTGTAGTTTGGGTACTGATTGTTCATAATCTTGGGCTTTTGGCTTTTCCCCAGCATTTGAAATTCTGTAGCCTATTTTCAAAACATTCCTTTTTATCATAATATGCTTTCCCCAGAGTATCTCAAACTATTTGTAATATAACTTTCACATATTCTCTGGGAAGGGAAAGGGAGAGAAATGATTGTTAGCTTGGAGATGAGGTTGGTGTGAGAGTGATGGCTGTTATTAACATTCTTTCCTAGAACCCCCTCAACACAGCAGCACCTGAAGAAGGTCTATGCAAGTTTTGCCCTCTGTATGTTTGTGGCAGCTGCGGGGGCCTATGTCCATGTGGTCACTCATTTCCTTCAGGTAAGAATAATTTTCTCTCCTGGTTGTTATAGCACAAACTGTATTAGGAAGAAACCAGTTGAGCAGGGTGGTCCAAGCCTGTGCTTCTCCTTAATCTCAGTAGTTTAGGATCTGAACTCAGCCAGCCATTAAATCAGGACATTTAAATTTTATGACAATGGTTCCCCTTCTAGATACTGAAACAATGTCTTAACCATGGCACTAAACGATGTGCTGGAGACGTACAAGACCCCTGCCCACTGAGTAGAGGGCCTGATGTGCATATTAGGATTCTTCTGCACAGTAGCCTTTTTATCTTTTCCTCCATTCGTCCTCTTTTTTGCCTAAATGACTGTGGACTACTTGGACACAAAATACGGATTGTATGGGCCGGCCCGGTGGTGCACTGCTACAGTGCGCCGCTTGGGAGTGCGGTGGCGCTCCCGCCGAGGGTTCAGATCCCACGTACAGACCGGGTCCCGCTCACTGGCTGAGCGAGGTGCGGGAGCAACACCGAGGGTTGCGATCCCGTTGCCGGTCCCGGTCCGGTACGGGTGCAACACTGAGGGTTGCGATCCGTTGCCGGACACGAAAAAAGACAAAAAGGGAAAAAAAAAAAAATGCGGATTGTATGATTAATTATCAGGAGAGGCAGGATTGAGACCTTTAAGGATTTGACCCATTTTCTTCTCTGATACACTGTTATCTACATGTTTGGGTGAAAGCCTTAAACAACTCATTATCCTGTGTTGAGGGAGAGTTTGGGCTTGGCCAACAAGGGTAGAAGCTTGAGGAACAACTAAAAAGTTTGAAGCTCTCACTAACCAAGCCTCGTACCTTTTATTTTATTTTTATTTACTTATTTATTTTTGGCAACTGGCCAGTACAGGGCTCCTCCCTTTTAGAGTGTACTTTTTTAAAGGAATGTAGTAAAATACAGTCAATCCTCATTATTCACAGGTTCTGTATTTGTGAATTCACCTACTCACTAACATTTATAACCCCAAAGTCAATACTTGTGGCACTCCACAGACATGCAGAGTGGTGACAAATTTGAGTTGCTTTCATAACATCTCCCCAGCTGAGGTAGAATAAGATGATGCTGTGCCTTCTTGTTTCAATTTTCATACTATAAACAGGTGTCCTTTTCATGGTCTATTTAGTGCCATGTTTTTTTCATTTTTGTGCTTTTTGTTGGTGCTTTTCTGTTTGAAATGTAAACAGCATAGTGCTGAAGTGCTGTCTAGTATTCCTAAGTGCAAGAAGACTGTGATATGCCTTATAGAGAAAATATGTGTATTCGATAGCTTTCATACAGGCATGAGTTCTAGTGCCATTGGCTGTGCGTGTTCAATATTAACGAATCAACAATATATGTCAAATAATCTGTCCTTAAAAAGAAACAGAAAGTGTGACCAAAGGCTTGCAGGAGCCTAACCCTGTATTTCTGCCCAGGAACAATGACTCGGTATTCACTAATTCAGCGTCCACTGTGACTTTATAACATAACTACTGTGAATAATGAGAATTGACTTTACCTTTAAAGGAAGAAGGAACTTCAGTGTCTATATTATCCATCCTTGGTGATTTCCCTCCTTTTCTAACGCCCGTAGCTTTTCCCACTTGCTTTAAAAAAAAATTTTTTTTTTTCTTATTACAAAACTAATGTGTGTACACTCTAGAACATTTGGAAAACAGACTAGTGATAAGGAGTATTAAAAAAACTCCATTATCCCATCACCTAGAAATAACTACTGATAATATTTTGGTACTTATCAGTCTTTTTTACCCCCCAGTCTTTTCTCTCTGTATGTCTATATTTGTGTCTTGGATTTTTTGTGTGTATGATCAAAAGGGGGTTATTTCTACTTGTTCTAAGATGGAATGTGCTTCAAGCACTTGTCACCTTGGTTCATATTTTCTGTTCTTCGGCAAGACTCATTCATGGTTTGACTTGGGTAGTTGTACGGTAGTTGATGGACAGCCCAAGCCAGAAGTGCCTCTAGCATCCACTGTGGTTCTAACTCTGTCCTTCAAGGCTTCTGGTTTATCTCCTCAGCCCCACCTCTCAGAAAACACTACCTTTTCCCCTCCTCTAGGTCAGAAGCAAATATTAGGAACTTCAGATCAGTATTTGAACCCAGTAAGGTCTCCTGCAAAATAAATTTGAAACTCTCACATATTTAATTATTGACTCTGGCTTTGACAGGCTGGCCTGCTCTCGGCCTTGGGCTCTCTGGGGTTGATGATTTGGCTAATGGCAACACCTCATAGCCATGAAACTGAGCAGAAAAGACTGGTACTTCTTGCTGGATTTGCTTTCCTTACAGGTATGTTAAGGTATGCTTTCCTTACAGGTCTAATTTTGAGAGGTGGAGGGGTACTATATATTTAGTATCTCAAATATAAAGGTTGAGATTTCTATTTGTTCTGATTTATCTCAACTGGCATACATTCTTGTCTGTCCAGTTGTACAGTTCCTTCAGAAGACTTCACTTTGTAGAGTCTTCTCTGAAGTTTCTCACTCTGTTGTGATTTCTCCCTTCAGGTTTCTTCTAGCACTGTACTATCCAGTTTTCTACAGTAGTCCCCACTGATCTGCAGTTTCAGTTTCTGTGGTTTCAGTTACCTGTGGTACAGTACAGTAAGATATTCTGAGAGAAAAAGACCACATTCACATAACTTTTATTATGGTATATTGTTATAATTGTTCTTTTATTATTATTATTGTTAATCTCTTACTGTACCTAATTTATAAATTAATCTTTATCATAGGTATGTGTGTATAGTATAGGAAAGAACATAGCATACAAGTATATGGTTCAGTACTATCTGCAGTTTCAGGCATCCACTGGAGGTCTTGGAACATATTCCCCGCAGATAAAGGAGTACTACTAGGGCCGGCCTGGAGTTCACTTGGGAGAGTGTGGTGCTGATAACACCAAGGCCATGAGTTCGGATCCCTATGTACAGATAGCTGGTTAGCTCACTTTGGAGATCGTGGTGCTGATAACACCAAGTCAAGGGTTAAGATCCGCTTACCAGTCATCTTTTTTTTTTAAAAAAGAGAGAGAGTACTACTGTATTTGAGTGTATTTTGCCTGGTACTGCTTTTTTATTTCTTTTTTTTTTTTTTTTTAAAGATGACCAGTAAGGGGATCTTAACCCTTGACCTGGTGTTGTCAGCACCACGCTCACTCAGTGAGCTAACCAGCCATCCCTATATGGGATCCGAACCCATGGCCTTGGTGTTATCAGCACCGCACTCTCCCGAGTGAGCTACAGGCCAGCCCTGCTTTTTTATTTCATGTAGGTTCATCTTGCTTTCCTATCCATAGGGAAAGCTCTTTGTGACTAGCAACTGTGATTTCTACTTTTGTATCCAAAAACAGGCATTGTGTGCTTGAATGAATGAGGTTCAAGAGCTTATGTAGCATAAATTGTTAATGGTAGACATGGGACTAAACTTGGCTTGAGGACCGGACTTGGTTGGACCCACAGCGGCAACTGTCACAGGAGCATCTGTTCTGAGCCTTGCAAATAGTTAATTAAAGCCATGGATTGAGCAATCCATTGTCCAGGATACTTTGCTGATTCTCAAGAAAAGAATTAAAGGCACAAGTATTCTAGAATTGTCATTAAAGGAAACAGGATTCAAGCTGCATAATAAAAATCTTTGCAAAGCAACATTTGAGTTAATACAATTTGTTCTTAGTGACAGTCCAATCTGTATAGTGTTGAAGAAATTTTAGAAAGGAAGGGATTTAGGCATTAAGATTTTTGGATTAGGGAAAGCTGGTGTTTGAAGGTATCAGGAGTGGAATTATCAGAAAGAGATAGGAAAGTAGCCAGAGTATAAGAAATGTTGGAGCTGGAAAAAGTTGCCTCCCTATTGGCAGGTGTCCACCTGCAGAACCGGTCTGGCCTTTCTTTGCTACAAAGGGAATCAGTCCTGCATGACTACGAGGTTGCTGGCCACAAGGCACTGCTTTAGTCTTTACCCTTTTCTTCTGTTCTCATCCCTGATATGACCCACATTACAGTATCATATCACTCTAACTCAAAAATGTTTGACATGCCTGCTTCAGTTTTTTCTAATTTCTGTTCCTCCTGAGGTCATCCATGATTTTCAGCAAAGAGGACAACTTTGCAATTATATCTGTAAATAAATAACTCAGTCAAGTATACATTCTCTTGAAAATGATTAAGAAGGAGGGAGGAGAGAGAAATTTAATTAGTCCACATGTTTTGCTTGTTTTTTTAGGTGCACGAACATGCTTATGTTATTAATGATTAGCTTTTGGATGAGAGTACTCTTAAAGAATTGATGGTAATATTGTGTTTTTTTGTTTTCTAGGAGTTGGCTTGGGCCCTGCTCTGGAGTTGTGCATTGCCATCAACCCTAGGTAACTATTTAGTAGTGTCTTATGTCTTTTTACCTTTATGAATACACCTTCTAAATATAGGCCATATACCTGTGGCCCTCAATCAAATGACCATTTTCTTTAACAGCATCCTTCCCACTGCCTTCATGGGCACAGCAATGATCTTCACCTGTTTCACCCTGAGTGCACTGTATGCCAGGCGCCGTAGCTACCTCTTCCTGGGAGGTAAGTATGGACTAGGAAATGGAGAGTGGGGCTCCACTCTAGCTGGAATTCTCACTAGAACTCCTTCCCTACCCACAACTCCCTTGTGACTGTTGGGTTAGAATTAAAAGCCTTTATTTTTGGGGAACATAAGGAATGGCCTTAATGGGATTGCTTTGCTTTGCTTTGCTTTCTCTCAAGACAACTTTTTTTGCTGTGTCTTATAGGTGTCTTGATGTCAGCCATGAGCCTGATGCTCTTGTCTTCCCTGGGGAACCTTTTCTTTGGATCCATTTGGCTTTTCCAGGTGAGACTGCATAGAACTTTCTAGCAGCCATTTGCCGCACACTTCTTTTTTTTTTTTTTGCTTAACCCTAAAGCAAGATAGGCTAAGAATTTTCCACAATCCTCCCCTTCTTTGGGCATTTCTCTCCCACCTGGACTTCCCACCTAACCCTCATAGGATGGAGCCTCTGCCACAGGTGAAAAGACAAACTGAATGTCATTGGACATAGCTAAGGAGAAGATGGTTTGCTCAGAGATCATTTGTCTAAGGCCAATCCAGCACTTGCTCCTTATTAAAATGGTTGAAGCTCTTTCAGTGATGTAAAAAAATGAATACAGGGCTGGCTGGTCTCAGTGGGTTAGAGTGCAGTTTTATAACACCAAGGTGAAGAGTTTGAATCCCCTTACCGCCAGCCACCAAAAAACCCCCAAAAAACAGCAAATGCAGAATTGTGCCTAGGGAAGTAGTAAGATCTTCATTATAGACTTCATTTCCCATGAATGTTAATGTTTACAGGGTTAGCATTTGATGCACTTTCAAGTGGGCAAGAGTCAGAAGGTACATCTGGCTTTTTTTTTTTTCTTTCTCTCAACGTATACTATATGGTAACTTTATTTCATTCTTTTGTTAGGCAAACCTGTATGTGGGTCTGGTGGTCATGTGTGGCTTTGTCCTTTTTGATACTCAGCTTATTATTGAAAAGGCCGAAAATGGAGATAAGGATTATATCTGGTGAGTGTGAAACTGGTCTTTAATGAGTATGAAGGTTGAGATATACCATTACATTGCACTGCTGAACTTAGGTGGCCAAGCTTCGGGAATTTATATGGTAGGAAACCCATAGTTTTAGAACTATGCACTGATAGCATTGTCTCCTTCAATTCCTGAAAGACATCAGATTTTTAAAAATTGGACTAATATATTTATGTATATTATATATAAATAAATATTGGGTATATTTAGTAGAATGTATATTTAGTAGAATAAAAATATATTTATGTATATTTAAAAGGGGTCGTCCTCCTTTTATTCTTTATACTTCTGTATTTTTTAAACCTTTAATGAGAAGATGATATACATAATTTTTTTTAATGTAGTAATCTCAAAGTCTCAGCTGATTAGTTGTAGTTCAGGGTTCAGACTTGGGCCTTTGCAGAGTCCAAAGCCCAGTCTCTTTTCTCTCTGTTACCTGACTTCAATAAGTTGAATGAGTTTAAGAGGATCTTAGCAGAGTTTTACTTCTTTAGTTGGTGATGGAGTATTGGAGAAGCTGACTTTAGAGGGTGGGGATGAGGTTTGTGTTCTGCAGCTTTGCAGGTTTGTGGATTAAGGAAAGTGAGAAGTGCATTTTGTAACCTGGTCCTTCCATTTTAGGCACTGCATTGACCTCTTCTTAGATTTCATTACTCTCTTCAGAAAACTCATGATGATCCTGGCTATGAATGAGAAGGTTAGTCAGCCTGCAAGCCAAAGATGGGCGAGTGGCTCCTGAGCTCAGCATCTGTGTATACTTCAGATTTGAAAACTTGCTTACACACTGTGTAGGTTCAGGATAACTGTTAAGGCAGGCCACTGAGTAAGAGGTAAACCAGAAGTCTTTAGATGATGGAGAAAAAGGAATAAGTAAAAACAATCCTTTTTAAAAAACAAAAACAACTAATTCCTGAGATTAGTATCAAAGAGAAAAGAGCTTCAGTGGCAGTAAGAAACAACCTCTTATATCAATAATTTAAAGGCTGTAAAAATAGCTATGACTCTGAAGAAGATATTGTGGAGGGCATTGTATAATATTGGCAGCCAGCTTTTGTAAATTTCAGAAGTAGACCAATTTTATCCATTTTCTAGTCTTAATTTTTTTCCAAAGAAGCATTCTGTATAGGGTTAATGGGTATCAAACATAATCTAGTGCATCATTAAGGGAACAAGTGAAACCATGAGTTTTTCTTTCAGACCTTACTGTGGAATCAGATACAGTGCAGGGGTAGTAGGAGCAGGTAGATGGGGTTGTTGGTTCTCTGTCTGAAATGCCCCATGCTTGGACTGAACACCAAAAGGGTGCCACAGTTTCAATCAAAGCAACTCAACTTTTATTCCTTTAATATGTTGGACTTCCACCTAAGATTGAGTGAAGAGTTCCACCGGGCTAGATTATTTCTGAACATCTCTTTATGCGGAGGATTCTTGCTCACACTCCAGGGTGGAGCACTTCCTAGGCCTAACAGAAAGTTGGTTGTCTTGGCCTCTGGTTTTGCTCTTTTAGGACAGACTGTTAGTCTGCAGCCTTCACTGGTTAGGATCTGAGCTGGGGTGGTTGTAAGTAGCCAACAGTGGTCAAGCAGCCACCTAGGAACTCCTGGCGTGGGGGAGTGGACAGCTGCTTAACCTTTATTCTTATCAAGCTGTCAGCAACTTTGGGGACCACCAGTGGAAGATGGTTAAGATTCAGTTCTTGATGAGCTAAGGGAGCATTTCTCATTCCTCTTTATTTATTTATTTTATTTTTTATTTTTTTAAAAGGTGACCGGTAAGGGGATCTTAACCCTTGACTTGGTGTTGTCAGCACCACGCTCACCCAGTGAGCTAACCGGCCATCCCTATATGGGATCCGAACCCGTGGCCTTGGTGTTATCAGCACCACACTCTCCCGAGTGAGCCACGGGCTGGCCCGCCACACTAAAATTTTTGAGTGAGCCTTTGGTTAGGGACTGGAAGGAATCCGGACAATAAAGAGGAATGAGAGGGGCCGGCCCCCCGCGCCCCCCGGGGGGGGGGGGGGGGGG